TTTGAAATCTGTCTAACCAGGAGGAAGAGGCCGGCCCCCACCCACTGTCCCTCTCCGTCTCTGATTACCTTACCCCATCCTGGTCATTGTCACCCTCATCCTCCCCACTCACCCACTCCGAGCCCAGTGACTCAGACCGAGAGGAGGACGAAGAAGAGGAAGATGACGACGACGACGACGACGATGAAGAAGAGGAAATGGAGGAGATAAGGGGTCGAATGCTCCGCCGCCGCAAGAAACGTAAGCTGCCCGCGGTGGTCAGTACAAAAAAGAAGAGCTCGCCCACCTCATCCAGGGGACCTGGGCGCCCATGCTCATCCTTTTCCCGCCCGGCATCTGTGGCAACCCCGGCCAGATCCCAGACCCAGGTCAGCGCCCTGGCATCCCCGACCACAAACATCAACAACAACATTAACATAAACATTGGCAGCTCGAGTGGCGGCACGGTGAGCCGGCGGCAGCACTGCCCGTACTGTGGCCGCCACTATCGCTCTCTAGCACGCCACTTGGAGAAGCACCACGCCAGCCAGCCAGAGGTCAGAACAGCCATGGAGCTGGCACACCTGCACACGCACAGCTCTTCAAATGGCAGCGCCTCACATCCTCACCCTTCATCGTCCTCCACCTCCGCTCCTCACAGTCATTCCTTTGCTGTCCCTCAGCCCTCGGCCTCAAACCCTGCTCCACCCTCTCTGTTTGCCAGGGAGAGGGACCCTCCAGCTACACGCTCGAGCACAGGCGGCGTCTCGTTCTCCCTCTCGCTTTCACCGCCTTCTTTGGCTCAGCCCGCAGCCACCAAGAAGGGGCCTAGCTTACCAGTGCCCACCACAAAACGTCCCGCACCCCCGATGGTGTCACGAGTAAAGAGTCCGTCACCGCCTCCCCCAACTACTCCCAAAAGGGGTCGGAGGATGAAGAGAGAAAAGCATGAAGAGCAGCAAAAAGTGGAGGTGGAGAGCTCGAGAAGTCGCGAGGAGCTGGTTCCACCTCCTACTCCAGAGCCAGACATAGATCCAGATGAAGATCTGGACCTGAGTGGAGAAGCAGAAGATGACGCACCAGAGGAGAAGAATGGAGAGATTGCTAGGTGGGATTAGATTATTGTCTTTATGTTTGCACTGTTGTCTCTGAAACACTTTTTGTAGTCTTATTACCAGTTAGATCATTATTGATGATGTTTCAGGTCGTGCTTTGTTTAGGGCTGAACGATTAATCATTTTAAAATAGAAATTGCAATTTGAAAGAACGCGAATAGCTAATCATGAAGACGGCGATTTTCATTTTACAACAAAAAACGAAACTAGAGGAAAATGTGGGTTAAAAGCTGAACCGACACAGGCCGCGGTTTTGTCCGGCGTCAACTCACACAGAGGTGTTCCAGCTGCGGAGCGTTTAGCCTACACGTTGCATTTTGTGTGCTTCCAACTAAGGATAACAGCTCTCTGTGAGGCCGTTCTGATCTCTGAAGGCTAACGTTACATATCCACATAGAGCATTTCAGAATAAGAGCCTGTCTGATTTTGCTGACTTGTTCAGATTTGCTCAGTTGTCCTTGATTTTTGTGCTTCTGCTATGGTTAAGTAGCTACATAGTTAAATTGTGTCTCTTTTTGTTTGTTGTTGTTGTTGTTGTTTGTTTTAACTGTGTTTATTGTTGATGTACGATCAGGAGTCTGCAACAGATGTTTTATTTTGAAAATCGACCGGATTCTCTCTGCTGTTCTGTGTCTGACTTCCTGTCTGGTTCATCTTCTCTGTGCTGCTTGATGTGGCTTCTGTCAAAAATAGACTGGCAGTGAATATTGAACTTTAACTAAACATCAATAAAAAAAAAATTGAAAATCGAACCGTAATCGCAATATCTGGCAGAAAAATTGCAATTAGATTTTCCCCCCAAATCGTTCAGCCCTAACTTTGTCATTTAGCTGTTATATTTAAAGCATTTAATTCTCTCTCTCTCTCTCTCTCTCTCTCTCTCTCTCTCTCTCTCTCTTTCTCTCTCGTTTTCAACATACAAACAGACATCACATGTCTCCGCTGATGTCTTCCCTCTCCTGTTTGGTTGTCTACCTCCGCCGCCAGCAGCACGCCTCTTTCCTTTCTTTAACCCGTTCTCCTCACTCTGCCGAGGCTTGGCGCCTGCTATGCCATTCTAGCCTCTCCCTGCTCATCCTCTACAACCGCCACCGGGAATGTGAGGTGGCCAAGCTCACGATCCAGGACTACCGCAACCGCATAACTCCACAGGCCAGCTCCAATAACAGCTCCCCCTCTGGCATGGAAGCCCTCCTGTCCCCCTTCGAGCGCCAGGTCCTCTGTAACCTCCCGCGGGCAGGTGTTTTGGGCAAGCGTGGTCGCATCCAGCCTCTTATTTTCCCGCCACACTGTGAGTCCTGTTTGGACCTACTCCTTCAAACCAGCCCCAATGTAGGTGTGGACCCAGAGAGCCCGTATGTCTTCTCCCGGCCCTACCACTCTCCTGCCACACCACTGCGGGGCACAGACCTTCTGAGAAACCTGGCACGAGCCAGCGGGGCAAAGAACGCCGGAGCACTGACAGCAACGCGTGTGCGGCGGCAGGTAGCAATACTTACCCAACTGCTACTTTTAGAGGAGGGCGATGGCCAGGGTGGAGCTACCAAACGGCTGGAGGACTTCCTGGAACGAGAGTACCACGTTACCCAGAACTGCTCCACTATCATTCGGGATCCAGCACTTATGGGTCGTGTTGGTCGTGTTGTTCTTTATGGAGAGAGGGAGGGCGTGCTTTTCCGAGGGATGAGCCTGCAGCATATCTGCCTCGAGTTGGATGGTAAGGAGCAGCATCATGCATTTTCTGTCTATTTATTGGCCCAGAGCAGTGATTTACTGGAGTCTGGTTGTCACTGCGAGGTTTCCAGGTAAACAGCAAAGACTCCAAGAAGTCACTGAGCCCCACCAAGTAATAGTAAAACCCACTGGATTTTGTAAAGATTAAACAAACAAGATATAAGGTTTAGTGAGCTATTTCCAGTATTTATGCTAAGCTAACTAGCTGCTGGCTGTAGCTGCATATTTTGCATACATGAGAGTAGCATTAGTCTTCTCATCTAACTCTCAGCAAGAAAGCCAAAAGGTGTCTTTCTCAAAACACAGAACTATTCCTTTTAAAGGCCTTAGGGAGGTTGAAGCACAACATTTTACAGCCAGATTCATTCAAGAGACATTTTTGCTATACTAATGCAACTGCAGTTAATCCCTTTTCTTAAATTATTATGTGTGTTAGTCATATATTTTTGGTTATCTACCCTTTTTTTTTATTATTTTTTTTTTTATCTCTGGTGTACAGTAATGTCTGGCAACTCAGCAGACTCCTTTTCAGAAGATTCAGAGGCAGAGGAAGAAAAGGAGGACGTTAAGGAGAAAGCTGAGGTGATGGTGAAGAAGAAAGGACCGGGGCGACCGCCACGGAAGAAGAGAGCGGCCATTCCTTCTCCAGTCAGCCCATCGATAGCCACTGTTCATAAGAGGAGATGTATTCCACCAAAATCGGGTAATCTGTCTATCAGTGTATGACTTCCCAAGTTCAGTCAAATCCTTATAAATTTGATCCTTTGCATTCTGTTTGTTTACATTATGTTAACGCCTCCCCCTCTGCCTCACAGGGAAGCGTGGTGTGCTGAAGCGTCCCTGGTCCGAGGCAGAGCGTGTAGCAGTAGAGACTCATCTAAATAGAAACCTCCTGGAGTTGCGAGTCCCTGCGAAAGCGGACTGTGAGCGCTGCCTGGAACTCTGCCCTCTGCTGGTGAGCAACCAGCGAGACTGGAGGGCCATCAAGTTTTATGTCCACAACCGCATCCAGCTGCTGAAGAAGCAGGGGAGGAGGGAAAGTGCTGCCTCTGTCTGCTAGGGCAAAACAGACACAGCAGAGGACACGTACCATAATGTATAAACCACCAGCAATCACATTGAAGAGAAATTGTCTTGGTCATGGTGGGGTGCAGCTTCTATTTTTTCTTTCTTTTTTTTTTTTCTTTCATGGGAGCGGTACCTGACGTTGGGTGCATCCCCAGTTTCATCACCCCGGTCATAAGTGAGTAGTGTAATAAACTGACTAAGCTAAGAAAACAGATGGGTTGCTCCATTTAAGGATCGTTCACACTCAGTGTTCAGGATGCCCACTGTCTGTTTTGCAGATGCATTTAAGTGGTTGGACGATATACTCAAAAGTGTGAATGTGAGTTCAGACAGAGTGAATGCTTCTTTTTTCTTACATTATTTTTCATGTCATCATTACTGGAGAGCAGTAGGAGATATGGGAGAGAGAAGGTGACATGCAACAAATGTCACCTTCTGCAGCAAATGAGTGATACCAGTCCAGGAGGTTGCAGTATGCGCTTCAGACTACAAGGACACGTCACAGCAAATGCTCCTTGGTCTGGTGTTCACTTCCACTGAAGGCTAATGACCAAACATGAATGTGTAAAGCTTTGGAGGAAGAAACAAATGGTTCCTATCTTTAAAAATCAACACAGATGATACACGTCTTCAGGACTGATGCAACTTTGAACTTGTGTAGTTTGTGTTTGTTATTGACTGACATTGTGCCCCCAACCCATGAAGCCCAACTGACAAGTGTATTAAAATGTATTCTTGGACGTTTTGGACCATGATGCACCGGTGAAGTGGTTCTTGCGTACCCCTTATTCTATGATCATAGTCAGACTATTATGTATCAAGGCACGCCTACTTGAATTTATTACGTATCAGAATTTTTAAAAAAGAAAATTATTTCAGAATCAACATGTGGACTTATTCATAATGTAAATACTTCTTAATCTATGAAAAGTATACAATAGTGATTACAAAGTTAGTATTGTGTTATGGTGTATATACTGTAAATACTACCTGTACTTATTAAAGTGTATGACATTTTGCTGTGTTTTCTTAAACTGGACTGTAATGTGAGTTTTACATTGTGGACGCAGAGTGAGACAAAGAAATAGAAATGACAAATAAATATGGGATCCCATATATGATTGAGTTTATTTAAAAAAGAAACTGCTATCCACTAAAAGCACATTCATTTATAGTATGATTTTACATTTGATCAACTTTCATTGAAAAGACATTTGTAAACTTTAAAAAATATGACATCGTGTACAACAAAATATAGAAGGTCAACGATATCAACTTGTAGCTTGAAAGTAAAGCTGCCTCATTCCAGATGTCAAGCCACAAGCACAACTGTAACCAGCAGTGTAGGGCCACAGCTGGGTTATTGTTCCCTTTTGTATGTCAGTTTCTAAATAGCTGATAAAGTAAATATGTCAGCCAATTCCCACCTTGAGACTTCAATCAGCTGAACAAAGAGGAAAGAGGAAAACCTGTGACTGCGGGATGCAGCTGGTAGAAGGTCATAATCATTAAGTGTATTAAAATAAGCCCAATATCTTGAGGTATTGTTCCACTGAGAACTTTGTACCATACGCTGAACCATGAGATGGTTTTTCACGAGGCCAGGAATTAAATTAGTAAGAGGGTCTGTCATTTTGTTGTCCTACTCTGGTTGTAACCTGCTGTATCTTGAAAAAGGCCACCTAGAGTCCCTTATGCAAGACCAATAAGATTATAGATTGCAAAAACCAGCTTTTTTGAAATGTGCACCCTTTGGAACCTAAATGAGCTCTGTGATATTTCTATTTGATAAGTCTTTGTGATTGACAGCAGCGCTTTATAAATGTAAAAGTGTTTTTAAAAACTGATTTAAATCCCCAAAACTACAATCACAATTTAAGCTATTTCAAAGGCAGCAACTGAGCACAAACAATGATAAATTCATAAGATAAACAAATTCTAATTAGTCTCTAAATAAAATGAGTATACGTGTCAGTGCACTTTTACTTATAGTGTATAAAGTACTGTCGAAAAGAATATGGTTTCACAATTAACACAGTTTCAATAAACCTTACAGATGGTGGACACAACAGAAACACGTTGCTATAGAAAACAAAATGTAGATCAATCAAGGCATACAAGGCATAACTATGTTTATATTTGAGAAGATACGAAGTCTGAAAAACCATACTGACATGCAGTTTGCCAAAGACAGGAGGCCTGCATTATCAATTAGTACCAGTGTTCATGTACAGAAGCAAACAGGAAAGCAACAGAGACATCACAGTATATGGTATGCGTATTAAGCACTAGGCTATCATGCCCACAACACTACAATACTACTACACTAGTAGTTTTGGAAAACTACGCCTTTGTTTGTTTTTTTGCTGAGGTAAACGAGAAGAAGGACACCATAGCCGTTTCACCATTTCTAGTCTTTGTCCTAAGCTAAGCTAACTGGCTGCCGGATGGAGCTAAGTATTTCGCACACAGATTTCTCATCTGACTCTTGGCAAGAAAGCAAGTAAGTGTATTTCCAAAAATGTACAACTACTCGTTTAATGGTATGTTTACCTTACATCCCAAACTCACATTTAACAACAGAGCTAAGTTGTCAGTTAGCAGCTTCAACAAACTAGTTACTGTCCCAAGTCTGTATGTCTCTGCCAACCATTCAAGTTGCAGTTTACATCCCTGTCTGTCAAGACTCATATAATATATTGTATGTAGTGAATACTTTTGAACTGAAAAAATTCAAAAAGTACATTTTTTTGGCTTAAAGATAGTTAGCACTATAGTAACAATATGTATGATTCTAGTCAACACACGTTGTTGAACTGATTAACGAAGGATTATTATAGATGTTGCCCACACAGGACCACATTGATTACTATGTAGAGGGAATTTAGAGAGTACAGCTACACAAAATGTGGTGCTTTTGTTTCCTCCATTTTTAGATGTGAAGCCTCTCTATGGGCAGTTGGTGAAACTCACTCACAAGAGCATGATTAGCTTCAATATGTTGTTTGCGGTCATGTGATTCTGATGACGCTCGAAATTCACATTTGAGGCAGGAAATGAAAGGCAAAATGAAGGAGATGGAGGAAAGCCATTGTTTACTCACTGTGTCGCCCCAGTCGACGTGTGTGAAATCTGAAATCACCAATTTCATTCTTAAATTATGACCAAAACTCTATTTTGAGGTCACAATGACCTTTGAGCTTTCAGTCAAAACCAACTGTGTGACCAACTGTGAAATATGGTCACAATCTCCCCTTCTGTTTCTGAGTTATGGTATGTTTTTCCAGGACAATATGACGTCACAGTGAAGTTGACCTTCGACCTTTTGGCAAAAAAATGTCATCACTTCCTCTATGTGAAATTGTGTCATAAATACCGCATCAATTCTATGGCCAAAGACATGTTTTGTGAGATCACAGTGACCATGGACCACCAAATTCTTATCAGTTAGTCTTTGAGTCCAAGTGAACGTTTGTGCCCAATTTCAACAAATTCCCTCAAGGCAATATCTTATATTAGATATTGCGTTCACGAAAATGAGACGGAAACCCCCAAAACACAATCACTATGTGCTTCACAGAAGTGGTACTGTACATTTAGTGTAACCCTTCTATTATTTTATCTCATGCAGAATTGGTTTTCAGTTTAAGTTAGCGTGTCTATCAAAATTTTAGCTTTAATATGACTTAATTAAAAATGTTGGGTGGTCACCCATTTAAGTCACTCAAAAAATTTCCATGAACTAAATAAAACCATTAAGTCAAAGCAACACGTGGTTCAATTTTGTATCCTCTTTCTCCCTTTCACACAGGATATATTAAACATATAAAACACTCAGGATGAGTGTTTTCATCTTGCTTTCTAACAACACTTATTACTGATAAAATAATTATTCAGGCTCTTGTGCTGGTGAATCTATACAGTTACCCGTGTCACTACACTGAGCCTGTTCTGTTCTCTGTATTATCTCCATAGCTGCCTTGTCACCTTTACCAGGATTGAAAAGTGGAAAAACTTCCCTTGTGAACTTAGCTGTTAAACTGCCAATGAGGCTCTTATTTTCCACATTATAAAAGGAAAGCTCTCCACTGTCATAATCCAAATACACACCAACCGTCTGAGGTCTGAAATGGACAGGCAGGAAAACTTTTGGTTCGGTGTTAAACTGAAATCTGCCAGGTGAAGAGGACATGAACCAGAAACCATTAGATGGAGTTGGAGACATATCAGCGTCCAGAGGGAAGACAGTTGCACTTGTAACTCCTACCCACCACGACTGTTTGAAGACTGTTGAGGGACGCCCCATAGAAACCTCCCAGTAGTGTTGTCCAGAAGAGAAGCCAGGTGTTCCTTTGATAGCTGTGAGACAGGTAACCTTTTGTCCATCAGGAAAATCAGCTCCTCCCAGGTTGGCATCTCTCAGTATATTGTTCTTCATTTTGAGATACTGATTTTCCTTCTTGTCAAGTGTAACATTTACTGTTGAAAAGTTAAACAAATTTTAGAATGAATCAGAAATACAGAAATAAATAATTGTTATTTACCATAAATTCTTACCATAATACTTTCTAGCTGTTGATAGATCTGGAATCACTTCTGTAACAGAGAAAAAATATTCTGTACCAATACAATTATCTGTTCCGCAAGCAATGTTTGTGACACAGTCAGTGTTTTGCTTTGACATTTTTAACAACAAAAAAGTTATATCTCACCTTCTAGTAAAGGTTTCTGAACCTCTGGGGAAACAATAGAAGATAGTTAATCCATGGGTTCTGTTATTTTATCGAGGCACTCCACTGATTCTAAACATGAAGTTCAATGTCCTTTTCATGAGATGTACTATCCATGAAGGGTTCACTGTTTTTTTGCAGTTTGATTCATAGTAGGTGATTTTTAAAATTTGTCTCTCACAATTCTTTTACAGAAGTGCTAAATACTAAAATCTAATACTTCATCTCTGGAGTGCACCTTTAACATACATATCATGAACTTTCACTGAAATTTTGAGTAAGCGTAATAAAAATATGTGTCTGAAGAGACTCTGTGGTCAGCGTGGTCAGTTTCTGATTTGGATTTCATCCCTGAAACATAGAACGTTTTCAGGATTTAGATATGTTTGATTTAATTTTGCCACTGAATTTATTCAGTTCAGCCACGCACAACAATTAAAACACATCATTGTATCATTGTTTATAATCTAAAAATTCAGTTCCTAAACTATCTATTGGAATTATGAGTGAGTATATTCAAAAAGCTGACCATCTCTAAAAGCACACACATTTATAAAATTATTTTACATTTTAACAACAATCATCGGAAAGACATTTGCAAACAGGGTGAAAATCAATGAATGTCATTCTGTACAACAAAATACTGAAACTCGCACACGGCCTATCAGTTCGTAGCTTGAAAGTTAAGCTATCTCATTCTCTTGTTCCCTTTTAAGTTATTTTCTCGTACCTTGGCAATTTAAGGAGCTAAGAGGAAAGAGGAAAACCTGTGACTTTGGGAGTTCATCAAAAAATATAGAAAACAAAGCTGCTAGAAATATATATAATATAAAAGGTCATACTCACTGAAATTTTGAGCAAGAGTAATAAATAATGTGTCTACAGAAACTCTGTGGTCCTTCTTACCATCAGGGTGGTCATTTCTTGAATTGGCTTTCTTCCCTGAAACATAAAACATTTTCAGGCTTTAGATTTATTTGATGTTTGACTTAATTAAAACACATTATTGTTTCATTGTTTATCTAATAAAGTTGAAATAAAGTTTCTAAAGTATTTATTGGAATTGCATATGATATACTGTGGTTATCCACATCTGTTTCAGGATTTTATTCATTTGTTTTATGTAGTTAATTTTTCTCTTTAAAAAAACATATAACAAACATTTGTATAAAATCAAATATTTACTTCTCTTTATGAAGTACAGCACTCCAAGTACAGCTAACACTAACATGGCTAGTGTGAAGGCCACCCATCCAGCTGCAGAGGATCCTGAATAAAAAGCAAGAAATCTTGTATGTTTGTTGGTTTTTAGTGAAAATGCACCTGTTGCACACATGCACTTCATTCTCTTTACCCTGTTCACCAGGTTGAGGAGGGTTTTCCAGGCGCACTCCTGCCTCCTTCATCTCTTCACCAGAGAGGCCCACTGAGCAGTAAACCTCAGAGGAGCTGGCGACAAGAAGCCAGCTGTGGACTGACACAAGACCAGAAGACTCTTTTCTGTAATTCAGGTTTTTTGTGTCCAGAACCTGCTTTTGGTCCGACCAGCGCAGGATAGGCTCTGGATACCAGCCTCCAGACTCACAGCTCACATTCATCACGTTATCTTCTTTCCACACAGCTGACAGAAGTGGAGGGGCTCCCCTTTCTAGAAGGAATATGAAAAACTTTTGATGTAAAGGTGAACAGACACTATCCTTTATTTTTGTGCGTTTTCTCCACTTTCATGATACTCACCAGTCACGATGAGACTGACGCTTTCACTATCATAACCCTGATCACTGCTGACATAACAAACGTAATCTCCTGCATCCTCAAGTGTAGCATTTACCAGCTGCAGGCTCACATCACCTTCCTTCCGTCCGCCAGAGGCTGCATCCTTTAAGCCAAAGGAGACTCTGCCCTTGTACGAAGCTTCCTGAGATGTATCGTCAAACTGTTTTGCCCGATAAAGCATGGCCGGGGAATCAAAGTTGTTGTGACGGTACCAACGAACCTCGAAACCCTCTGCACTTTGCGGTGGATTGAGCCAGCATGGTAATGTGGTTGTGTGGCCGTGGTGTACCGTGACAGGGGACTGGACCAAAACCACAAGGCTACCTGAAACTGTCAAATAGGCAACATACATGTTGTTGAAGTTTATGTTTTTGTAATATATTCTGTAGTAGTAGTAGTATAAGTACTGAGTGAAGATGGGTTTTTACATGGGCTGCAAGATTTGGAGAAAAAGTCGTATTGCGATTATTGTGGACGATATTGCGATTTGCAATATAATGGAACAAATGTTACTATGAGTCTACTTGCTTGATTAATAATTTACAGCTTTTTCTCAGCTCAAACATAGTTAAACCGAACATAAGAAGAAAAAGTTGGTTCTTTTTTTCCACCAGCCCAAAAATAAATAACAGTGGAGGTTTAAATGAGTGTTTAACATTAAATAAAAAGTATAATGGTCAGTTAATAGTATACTGTTAGTGTTAATTTATCAATTACTGTATTCGTTATAGTTTCATATAATACCACTATTTTACCATTAGTTGATTATTAAATCCAGTTACAGCTGTTTCATTTCTGTGTTGTTGTTTTTTAAATTAAATCTTTGAGCAAGCGAAAGGCTCTACACTGGTCTTTAATTTGGTAATTGGTATGTATTAACTTGTCAATAATCATATTGTTCAACATCCAGGCTGTGATTGGTCGGTTAACGAAAAGGTACTGACAGCACGTTGGCTTTATGAAAAGATGAACATGTTGAACAACAAAAGGCACCGATACAGCTAACGTTAAATGGCCAGCGATCCGAACACAAACCTTTATCTTCTCTTTAACGTTACTCGCACGCTGCTAATAAATCTGGTTTGCATGTGTGGTTTTTAGGGGCGTGCGAGAGCCTGGTTAGGCAAGGATAACGAGCAGACTGCACTGCACACAGAGACGGTGTCACACACACGCCACTCTTTAATTTGAAAAAAAGAATTAAATCGCAACCTTTTTGCAGTCAGATTAGAATGACGCGATTGCATTCGCCATTAGATTAATCGTGCAGCCCTAGATTACGTTTCTTGATAGCCTAAATCATGTTTTGTTCAAAGAGGACATAAGCTGTCATTCAAATAAGGCTTACTTGACAAATGAAAGCAAAGTTGTTATTTTAAGCACAATTAATTAGCATTAAAAAAAAGTGAATAAATCTGACTAAATTGATCCAAAGGAAAAGATGGGAGAGTAGGCTACTACACGGTGAAATATCATAATCAGGAATATCATACTTATAAAAGTAAACAGAGGCTTACCAGGCGCTGCACTACACGATGCACCAAGAGCTACCACAATGTACATAATCAGCGAACCTGCAAAATGGAAGGATTACAGTTATGACTGGCGGCTATTTGCGTTAAACCATCCGTAACGCCATGAAGTACACCTCCTCTCCACACCTTACAATCAGGTTTAAATCAGTACAACGTCAATAACATAATGAAAGCGTGAAAGAGCACCGTAGGCCGAAAATGTCGCGACAACGCGTGCAAATTAAAACCTCGGCTTACCCATTGTACTGCCCTGACTCCAAGAAGAAATAACCTTCATTCTATGAATTTAGTGCGTAAAAGAAAGAAATTCGGTAAATATTTGGATTCAGCTTCGGCTTTCTTTGCAAATTTTCAAGTTGGGAAAAACTGCAACTGCACCCCACTTGACAGATAGCCTACTTTCACTTTCACTTTATGATAAAATGGCGCAATAAAAAGTGGCATGCACAAGCAGGCGGCGCGTGCTGCGCCACATTACATTTATTCATTTAGCTGATGCTTTTATTTAAAGCGACTTACAATTGCTATTTATATCAGAGGTCGCACGTCTCTGGAACAAGGAGGGATTAAGTGTCTTACTCAGGGAAACAATGTGTGTCAAAGTAGGGCTGAATTTCCCACATGGAGAATTTCAGAAAAGCGTTTTGCCTGCCTTTTGCTGAATTGTTTAGATGTAGGCCTAGTCGATTTGGTAAGTTGTCCTTGATATTTGTGCTTCTACTGTGGTTAAGAAGGCTACGTAGTTAAATAGTCTGTTTTGTCTGTTTTCTGTGTTTATTGTTGATATAGCCAGCGATCGGGAATCTGCACAAGTCCCTGAAGCGCAGAAGCGGTTCTCCGCTCTGCAGAATAGATAGCAGGCAGGTAGCAGGTCTATTTCTGCTGTGTCAATCAGCACAGAGCAGATCGAACCGGGCAGGAAGTCATGGTGCGTTCCATTTCACATGGGAAGTCGGAATTTCCGAGTTCCCGGTTGAAACTTTCAACTGAAGTCGGGAGAACCGCACGACCTTGATCCAAGATGGCTGTCGGGGTATCAACAATTAGTGAAAGCTGTAGTTTATACTATTTATTAGCACTTCTACTACTTGTGACTCATATAAATGTTCGTACACAAAGTGCTGTCCAACAGCTGTCTGTGGACGTGTTGCCACAGTGTTTAGTGTAAGTAAATACCGCACAATGCGTTTTTTTAATCAACCGTCGTATCAATAGCTAATCTGGCTAGTTGTAAACAAACAGCTGGCCGAGCGAGGTTTTCCCACTTGTTAACTGGAACGCCGTCAACTCGGGTGTGACGTCATCCCCAGCTCCGACCTCCGAGGTAAATGGAACGCAGCATAAGACACAGAACGGCAGAGAATCCGGTCAGTTTTCTAAATAAAACACCATGTGGAGCCTCCCGATCATAAAACAACAATAAACACGGTTAAAACGGACACAAAAAGAAATCATTTAACCACGTAGCCTACTTAATAATAGTAGAAGCACATAATGCAAAACTGCAATGCTGAACTTAAATGTGGCCTACATGAAAATGTTTACCTGACAAAATCAAAACAAATAACTTACCTTACCATCATCCCATTTTCTTTCTTCGTGGACACAACCTCTATGCCATTAAGTCTGTATTATATCACTTTATCTGGAAAGGAAATTGGATGACAATGTACTCCATATCTCAAAATCCTTCTGACAGGACAAATGTTCAATATCAAATGATCATTAAGTAAATAATCATATGAATAAATAGAAATGAGTAAAGAATATAGAACAAATTAAAAACGAATAAATTGAAAACTAGTTATTAAATAATAATAATAATAATAATGACAATTAATGGTCTGATGATCTTACTGGGGTATTATTATAGAAAGTTTCATTTGAAAATCGCCATTGAACTTTTATTTAGATGTTCATGTGAATAATAATTTGGTTTATATTCCTGAAAATGATGGGTGGACCATTGGGGCTTTCTATGGGGAGGTCATGTCCCTCCCAATACTGAGAAAATTCCAATCCCATCTCTAGATTAGGGTGTGTGAACTGTAGCATAAATATGCAGTAATAAAAAAAATGCAGTGAATAAAATTAGTAATAAAAGAAGAATTTTCAATAAAAATAATTATCATTGTTAGTCGTTATATGGGACATCATGCTCTGGAGATACAGACAAAAACTGGAATGTGAACTAATGAATTTAAATCAAGATAATACATTTTATTCTTAGTACACATCTATAATTTCATACATATTTTTGAGGGCTGGGCACGTTAACATGTTATCGCATTAATTAATTAACGCCGACAATTATTATTATATTATTATTATTATTAAAATTCTATCAGAAGTTGTCGTTTTAACTTTACAGTAGCTGTCTCTGGTATCATAGTCCAGTTTTGTAATCTTTGTGGCATACTTTCATGAATTGACTTGGCTGAAAACTACTCCACTTAATATTGGTATTGATTAGGGTAACATAAATGCAGGGACGTGCAGTGTTAGTTTGAGGTGCTAACAGAGCCGCAAAACAACCACGAGCCACGGTAGCAACAATGTCCAAAGCACTGCTGTCCTCCAAACGGTCCTGTTGTCCCTTTAACTAACTACAACCAATCAATGACTGACAAAAACAGCAGCTATGAAGGAGCAGACACAATTTTTCCACTGGCTGCAACTTTTTACAGCTTGTCTGGTGTTTGGTGTAAACAGTGATTACTGCAAGGAGGACTTGTGTAGTAATGGTGGAACCTGTGTGACTGGGGCAGGAGTTCCATTCATTTGCACCTGTCCTGATGGCTCCTCTGGAAAAACCTGCAATGAGGTCTCTCGCCTTCACAACAAGGGACAGGTGAATGCCTGCAGCACCACTGCACATGACAAGATGACATGGATAGAAATCCACTTGCAAATAAAGGTGTGCTTTACAGGTATTGTGAAGCAGGGTGCCAGTTGCATGTGAACAGCAGAGTTCATCAAGGCCTTCAAGGTGGCCTCCAGCCTGGACGAGACAAGAGAAGAGGAAAGATCGTGTATTTGTTGAAAATGTGAACAGCAATGGCACCAAGACTAACCTGTTTGACCCCCCAATCATTGTCCAGTACATCTGCATTGTCCCTGTGGTGTGTCACAAGGCCTGCACGCTGCACGTTGGAGCGGGTGGGCTGTGAGCTCAACGGTTGTTCAAAGCTGATGGGCATGAAGTTCCGGTTGGTGTGTAACCCCCAACCAGATCATGGCATCCAGCACTTTCCACACATGGGGCATTGATAATCAGAAGATTGGTGGTTCAATCCTCTGGCTCCTCTAGGCTGCGTGTCCTTGGACAAGATACTGAACCCCAAATTGCCCCCGATGCTGAATGAATGTGTGTGAATGGGTGAATGCGCAGTAGTGTAAAAGAGCTTTGAATGGTCGCAAAGACTAGAAAGGTGCGTGCCAGTGTAGACATGAAGCAGGTGGTCTATTCCACAGTTATAGAAGATTTGGCGAAAGAAAAAAGTACTACAGATGAAGAACCATAAATAAATTTTTTTTGCATGGACCAATAGCGAGCTGGGACTGTTACTGATTGTAACACATGTGACGTCCCCAGGACGTCTGGTTGCTGAGTATTCATGTGTGAGTGTTCTGTTGTAGGTGTCAGTAGGCGGGGTCATCATCATCATGTATTGGAGCCACCTGGAACAGCCCCTTAACCACATGGACCCTGGCACCTATTTCCAGGAAAAACGCCTAAAATAACATACCCAAAATAAATCAGTAATATCTCCTCAACCATTAGGACTAGATGCATAATTCTGGTCTCCTTTGAAAGGTCAGAAGCTAAGGAATATAAATCCATTGTACATTAACATATTTATTTTACCATTACAGACTACATGGAGATGAAATACAGAAAAAATATGATATTTTCATCCTCACCTGGTAAAAAAAAGCTATATTTTAATGCAATAAACCATCAAAGCCATCATAAGGTGGATTATAATGCCTCCTGAATATCTTCTAATACACCTGGAATACAACTGTAACTGTAAATCTGATGTAAATTATAAAGCAAGTAAATCCAGACTTTTAAACAGCGGTTTTACTGCACTTGTAGCTTATTTATAAGTAGCCTAGTTACAAAACCTGACGTTAACGCCACTCTCTCCCGCGAGTCTAAGCATCAGTGGCAGTAGCTGCCGGAGTTTTTTTTCTGTAAGTTTGACGTCGCTGTGCTGCTTCTGCAGATGCTTCAATAAATGTAGAATTGTTCGCAGTTGAAAGCTTTTTGCTGGTTGCACAGAGTTAAAAATAGACGACAATGTTCTTTGCATCTTAGACTGTGACACAATAATGACACAAAAAGCTGTAAGTAGGCTAGCTACTTACAGCTGTGGAAATAATGCCTTTCTCCACCGCGGTGAAGTTAGTTTTAAGTTGGATATTCGACAGACATTCACCCAGGATCCAGTGACGGCTTTTTAGTCAGTTCACCCAGTGACGGTTGTATAAGTGCGGTTAGCTCACCTCTGATGGCTCGCTTTTAAACAACGGGGGTTAGCACTTTTTTCAATAAATTATGAATAAATATTCATATAAATTCGAATATGCACTCAAATCAAATATGAAGGGGTGTGTCTCATTTGCCCAGTGTAGTACTACAATTCGGCATTGGTTTGAAGTCCCTGTGTCACATGACTTGGAAGCTATTGAAAAAAAACAGCACTTTTTTTCAATAAATTATGAATAAATATTAATAAAAATAAAAAATGCTCTCAAATCAAATATGAAGGGGTGTGTCTCATTTGCCCAGTGTAGTACTACAATTCGGCATTGGTTTGAAGTCCCTGTGTCACATGACTTGGAAGCTATTGAAAAAAAAAGGCATTATTTTCCATAAATTATGAATAAATATTAATATAAAGTCGAATATGCTCTCAAATCAAATATGAAGGGGTGTGTCTCATTTGCCTAGTGCAGTACTACAATTCGGCATTGGTTTGAAGTCCCTGTGTCATATGACTTGGAAGCTATTGAAATAAATAATGATTCTCCCATAACACTGTTCTCACAATTGTAATTTATTGATCGTCCCTAAGCTAACCCCCGTTGGTTAAAAGCGAGCCATCAGAGGTGAGCTAACCGCACTTATACAACCGTCACTGGGTGAACTGACTAAAAAGCCGTCACTGGATCCTGGGTGAATGTCTGTCGAATATCCAACTTAAAACTAATTTCACCGCGGTCCTTTCTCCCTCGGTTTCCATTCTTCCTTTAGTTTTTGGCTGTTTCAGCAGACATGAACAACAAAGTCTGGTCCCGCTAAGCTGTCGTGGATTTACGTCAAGGATGGCGCATTTAGTAACGAGCCTTAGTAACTAGTAAGTAGTAATAATATTACCATTTTAGAAAAGTAATTAGTTACACTACTTAGTTACTGGGAAAAGTAATATTATTCTTCCTCTGATGAACAGCAGTGTGCTTGTCTCATCCAGTAGGCTACAAGTCAAATTATTTATTTATATTGGCCTAACTCTTTTTTTAAAGCATCAGGCCTATACTGACATTGGGCTGCCCCAATCACATCTCTTACAGCACCCACTCCCTCCCCCTCTGCTGGAGCTGTTTCTTGTGTTGTGGACCAAAAAAACAATAATTCGCCAAATGCGGGAAAATAACCCATATATAGATATGACCTCCCGCGACCCTGTAAGCAGAATAAGCGGTTGACGATGGATGGATGGATGGATAGATAGAAAAAAAATAATAAGCTACTGATTACTGCATTACATTCTATTATATTTTTATATTCTGAATTGTCACCTGCCACCTAAATTTTGGCCTTCCCTTTATAAAAATAAAGACATTTCCACCATAAATTGGTGCAGAAAATGTCTCCAGAATTCAGGAAATTAAGTGTTTAATGCTCAAAATCTCCTGGGGGGGGGATCCCCAGACCTCCCTATGGAATATTTCATCAATTAATAATTCTTAACTGAATTCAGATTAATTAAATTTAGTTATCATTGAGGTGAAAAGGTGCCATATGCACATTTGAAGAGACTTTAGGCTACTTCAGGCATGCCTGCGTGTACAGTATGTAGATTCAGCTGGAAAAAATAAAATAAATGAGAAAAGTTGATCTACAGGAGAAACATATCTGACATCCTTACTGTATTATATTACACTATATTCTTATTTTGAATTGTCACCCAAGACATTTCCTCAATAAATTGGTGCAAAGAAATTCACTAGAATGCAGAAAATTAAGTGTTTAAAGCCCAAACTTTTGAGGGGGAGAACCTCCCAATTTAATATCAGTGTTACTTGTTATCAATAGTAATTATAAATTTCATAATAAATGTAGGCTATATATATAATTTACTGTTGATTATTGACGCAGCAATGGGGGGTGGGGGGGTTAAAACATGAAAAATTTCTGTGCTGGGCTAAGCCCCCAATGTCTCAAGAGCCTAGAAAAGCCCCTGGTGGAAACCGCCCCATTGCTCAAGGATGATGCAAGCAGGTGAGTGCAGAGTTTAATAGCTGTTCATTTCATAAATGAGCCACTGTAACCTAAAGGTGGAGGTAAACATTCAGCAGGTAACACTACCTTTAGAATTGCTTTGTTTACCAAACAGGCTGTGGAAGAACTAGTATCACTGACCCTGTTACTCTTACTGTATGTGACCCATGCTTTATGTAGCCTTAAACCATTTGGGTCACATTGGTTTTGCTGTAATGCTTACGAACAATAACCTCACCTGTACCGTCGTGTCCTCTTGTCTGTGTACGGTGTTCACTCTCAAGATGAACACATTTGCACATTGGATAAACAAATCATATTATCATACTGCTGATGTCATTAATACACATTAAGGAACTTTTTATTGCAGTTTTATAGGCAATCTTGGCAGAGTAAACAGGACCTGACAGAAGCTACAAAGGACATTTTGGGGACTTAAAGGTCCATCGTGTTATATTTAGGTGGATGTGTTTTCAGTGGTGTATAAAGTCCATACATAATGAACCGTTATGTTTTTATTATCTTAGAATGAGCCATTTCTATCTACATACACTGCAGGTCCTCTTACAAGGACATGGTCATGTTGCACTGCCAGGTTTCTACAATAGTTCTAAAATCCTGTTATGTTATCCCGTTTAGAGTACTTAGTATGACTACCAAAATCTCTGCCTGACAAATTTCCCTGAACTGAATGAAACCATAAAGTAAAAGCAACACATGGTTACGTTTTTGTATCGTCTCAGACTAGTGGAGCTGGGAATCAAACAACCAACCTTACAGTTAGTGGATGATCGCTCTACCCCCTAAGCCACAGCCACCCCATATGTGTTCAGTGCAAGTATATAAAACAAATCCTGAGTGTTTTCATCTTGCTTTCTTACAGCACTTTTATTCAGGCTCTTGTGCTGGTGAATCTATACAGTTACCCGTGTCACTACACCGAGCCTGTTCTGTTCTCTGTATTATCTCCATAACTGCGTTGTCACCTTTACCAGGATTGAAAAGTGGAAAAACTTCCCTTGTGAACTTAGCTGTTAAACTGCCAATGAGGCTCTTATCTTCCACATTATAAAAGGAAAGCTCTCCACTGTCATAATCCAAATACACACCAACCGTCTGAGGTCTGAAATGGACAGGCAGGAAAACTTTTGGTTCGGTGTTAAATTGAAAGGTGTCTGCTCTGTCAGGGGAAGAGGTCAGGAACCAGATATCATTAGAGGGAGTTGGAGAGAAATCAGCGTCCAGATGGAAAGGCAGTTGCACTTGTAACTCCTACCCACCACGACTGTTTGAAGCATTCATTGGTACCCCCCATAGAAACCTCCCAGTAGTGTTGTCCAGAAGAGAAGCCAGGTGTTCCTTTGATAGCTGTGAGACAGGTAACCTTTTGTCCATCAGGAAAATCTTCACGGTTGGAATCTCTCAGTCTATGATCCTTGATTGTGAGATATGGATTTTCCTTCTTGTCAAGTGCAACATTTACTGTTCTGTAACAGAGAAAAAATGATTCTATGCCAATACAATTATCTGTTCCTACTAAAAATAAAAAAAACGTGTGAACAGCGACAGAGTTACTTCTCACCTTTTGGTAAAAGATTTTGATTCTCTGAGGAAATAACAGAAAATAGTTAATCCATAGGTTCTGTTATTTTATCGATTTTGATTGAAAATAGGCAATTTTTTAAATTTGTCTCTCACAATTCTTTTACAGAAGTGCTAAATACTAAAGTAAAATACTAAATCTCTGGAGTGCCCCTTTAACATACATATCATGACTTTTTTGATCACTTTCACTGAAATTTTGAGTAAGCATAAAAAATAATGTGTCTGAAGAGACTCTCTGGTTCTTCTTACCTTCAACATGGTCAGTTTCTGATTTGGTTTCCTTCCCTGAAACATAGAACATTTCCTGGGTTTAGATTTATTTGATGTTTGAATTTAGCCAAACAGATTAATTAAAACACATCATTGTATCATTGTATATAATCTAAAAAGTCAGTTTCTAAACTATTTATTGGAATTATGAGTGAGTTTATACAAAAAGTTGACCGTCTCTAGAAGCACACACATTTATAAAAATATTTTATATTTTATCAGCAATCATTGGAAAGACATTTGCAAACAGAATGAAAATCTATGAATGTCATTCTGTACAACAAAATACTAAAGGTCCACTGAAACTCGCACACGGCCTATCAGTTTGTAGCTTGAAAGTAAAGCTGCCTCTTTCCAGATGTCAAGTCGCCAAGTAAAACTGTAATCAGTGGTGTAGGGCCAGGGTTAGGTCATTATTCCCTTTTGTAAGTTATTTTCTCATACCTTGGCAATTTAATGAGCTATACATAGAGTAAAGAGGAAAACCTGTGACTTTGGGACTTCATCAAAAAATATAGCAAACAAAGCTGCTAGAAATATGTTGTGACACAAGGTCATAATCAGTCCTTCTTACCATCAGGGTGGTCATTTCCTGAATTGGCTTTCTTCCCTGAAACTTAAAACATTTTCAGGCTTTAGATTTATTTGATGTTTGACTTAATTGAATTTATTCAATTTAGCCAGGCAAATTAATTAAAATATCATAATCTAATGAAACTGTCTGAGTTTCTAAAGTATTTATTTAATTATATGTGATATATTGTGGTTATCTACATCATGTTTTTCTTAAAAAACATTTATATAAAATCAAACATTTACCTCTCTCTTTGAAGTACAGCACTCCAAGTACAGCTAACACTAACATGGCTAGTGTGAAGGCCACCCATCCAGCTGCAGACCAGCGCAGGATAGGCTCTGGATACCAGCCTCCAGACTCACAGCTCACATTCATCACGTTATCTTCTTTCCACACAGCTGACAGAAGTGGAGGGGCTCCCCTTTCTAGGAGGAAGATGAAAAACTTTTGATGTAAAGGTGAACAGACGCTATCCTTGGCAGCGTCTTATTGGCCAAACTCGAGGCTTCAAGATGGCAGTCCACAAACCAACAGGTGATGTCACGATGACTCTGTCCACTTCTTATATATAGTCTATGTTCCAAGCGCGTAAGATAGCTACAGTGACCGAAACGGGACAAAATAGACCTGGTCAAGAAACTTTCTTGAGATAGATATATTAAGAATTTATATTAGTTTAATTATTCAGTAAACCCATAAGATATTGCGAATATTATTGTTAATTGTTCATCAAAGAACAGCAACATTAAAAAATGAAGGTGTCTCATACTCCTGTACTACATTATTTTACTGTACTGTAATCATGCACTTTGTTACTTCCGTAACTTGGGAGGGTTGGCTCATCTAGACTAACATGCCCAAGTTAATGAAGAACATCTCAGAACTATCACATCCAGTGCAAGTATGACCACTGACAGATAACAGGAAAATGCAAGCCTCACTGTTTCTGCACCACAGTCAATTATAAACCACATAATGCATGACGTTTACAAAGGCGTTGTTAGGTGCGAATCAAGGTTCCTCTCCACACAGTCTTGTTATCATAACGCTGTTAGCAGTAAAGTGTTTTCCACCAGGGCAGTAATGTGAAGTTTAGCTGGCTGATCTGAATTTCCATGCTGTACCATTTTATTGCCAATAATATTATAATAATAATATAATAATATTGCCTTGTCTCACGAACGTAACAAGCACATTTCTGTCCATGTAGCAAACACATGATACAGCGCTGGAGAATAACATTAACATTCACTTTTCTTCTTACTTAATAAGCCAGATGACTACTCAGAGACTGTATATTAGTATTATGATTTCCTCTTCTTCTTCTTCGTACACATTCAACGGAGTGATGAGCATCTGCACTGCCGAAAGCAGAAGAAGAACAAGGACTTAGTGACAAAACGCGCTCTGAGCACTGTTTGTCCGTTTTTGGCTACTGTTGAAACATGCGATGTAACATGGTGACTTCCATGGAATGGGGACTCACGGTTATGTAGACAGAAATGGCTCATTCTAAAGTAATAGAAATATAATTGTTGAAATTATATTGTTGTGAGCCAGGTTCAGGTGTGAAGAAGTTTCGGAGACTGATGAAGACTTAACATAGCATGGTTTATTGGGCCCAGGGAGATACAGTGCCAGCATACAACATGTGTCTAACTAATCAGTCTATTGTTGTCTTCCTGACGAGGACAAGTACGTGTGCGAAATACCTAAAGCTATAATGTCAAGAACTTATGGGATCAGCTAAATTACTCTAAGCTAGACCTGTCTTACCTTTCCCTGTTACATCATTTAAGACAGCTAAGAAATATTCTCAACAATAATGGTTCGTTATGTAAGGTCTTTATACTCCACTGAAGTAAAGTAGTGAATTAGTTATGTTTTTATATTGCATTTCTGTCAATAAATCCTCAGAAATATCACACCTTTAAATATACATAGCTATATAGATAAAATGTTTACCTCACAACCTCTATGTCAATAAGTCGGTGCAGTAGTAGTATATACCTTTTTTTATTCTGGAAGGAAAACCCACTGGATGACAATGTGCTCCATATCTTAAAATCCCTCTGACAGGACATAAAATAATAAATATGAGATCATGAATTAAATAATCATTTGAATAAATAAAGTGTTAAAGCTGCATCACCTCACATTACTTTATGTCAGGGGTAATAGCAAAGATATGTCTTTTTGAAACTCACGTTTCTTTTAATGGAATAATCACAACTGAGTCCAAACATGCGTTTGCCATTTATAGCGTAATCAGACATTTACGTGATTATAGGCAATTATAGAAGCATATTGTTGCTGATGGAATATGTGTTTGGTATGTCTAATATCCTTGTTTATATTTGGAAAACGGACTGTAGCCAATAATTAACATGATTTACACTGGAGGCAGTTGTCCTAAAGTTTCTTGAAGGTCAAGTGTTTTTTTTTTTTTTTTGACTATTTGGTCTGGGTATCATTGGATAATCCTTAATTAATTTGTAATTCAAAAATGTAAATCTGTTATTTGTTTCTAAATAAAACAATTGACCATTTTTCGGCCAGTCTGGGACATCATGAGATACAGATGATCAGTTGAGAAACTGGAATGTGAACTATTATTTATTACTATACTAATTACTATAATTTAGTAGAACACATGGTAGATGTAATTAAAATAAAGATATAGTATGTTTAATCATTGGTACGCATCTTTGATTTCATTCACACTATTCAGTGTAAATGCACAAATTTGATTTACTTATAAGTCCATTGCATATTTTTTCTTAAAGGAATAATCTGTCATTTGTTCAAGTAGAACAGAAATTGTCTTCTAATCACAATATTTACGCACATCTTTGGGAATCTTATTCGCTGCTACTGGAATAGGCACCCATGCCAAGCTTACGCCCTTGGTGGACCATGTTCAACACAGATGTGCCAAAGAGTGACGAGAGTGTTTATGTGGTTAATGAATCCTCACGTGAGAGCCTGCACCAAGACCAACGAGAAACACCAGAACGGGCCCGGATGTTGTACGATATTGGCTTCAAAATAAATGTATATATTTGGTCACGGTTGAAAAATGAACGGGCGGGTCTTAAGATTGTACAATATTCATATTTAAAAAAAAAAACATTTAAGTGTTGATTAAGCAATGAACCGCCCAAAGTGAAAAGAAACAAACAAATCCGTGTGATTTTATTCTGATCCACCTTATTCTGAAAACTGTAACCAGAAGTTGTTGTTTCAACAGTTTGACAGTAGTGAAGTCTGTCTCTGGTATCATAGTCCAGTTTTGTAAGCTTTTGTGTGGCGTACTTTCATGAATTGACTTCACCGTCGGTTGGAAACTACTCCGCTTAACATTAAGTGTGGTATTGATTAGGGCGAGGTAAATGTAAGGATGTGCAACGTTAGTTTAAGTTGCTGACGCTAGCTGACAGCACAACGTTATATTTCCTGAGCTGTTCGGGAGAGTTAGCTGTGTGGTTCACTGACCCTCGGCTACATGGCGACTTAGCAACGCTGTTACATACACAGCAACATAATTTAGCTGTTTTTAGCAAAAATGCCTCAACTTGTGGACCCCGACGAAACAACCCAATTGCTCAGGGATGATGCAAGCAGGTGAGTGTAGACCTCAATTGCTGTTCACTTTTATGAATAAACCACTATAACGTTTCTGTAAAGGTGGAGGTAAGTTAAACATTCATAAGGTAACACTAGCTTTACAAGTGCATTGCATACCAAACTGGTATCACTGACCCTGTTAATGTTGTGCGACCCATACTTTATGTAAACAATTTGGGTCACATTGGTTCGCTGTTTTGCTGTGTGTTGCGTGTTAACGAGCAATAACCTCAAATCACCTGTAAGTTACTGTCGTGTCCTCTTGCCTGTGTACAGTGTTGACTCTCAGGATGAAGAGTACAAGAGTCGGTGGAGGTCTATCCGAATCATGTACTTCACCATGTTTCTCAGCAGTGTAGGTGAGGATGCCCACGATCTACAGGGAGTTTTGATTCTTAAACCTGTGCAAGAAGTCTGTTGCAGAGACACTTCACTAGGGTTTCAACAAGTTATGTGTGTATGGGAAATGGGCCTCTTCCATACAAAGGGGTTGATCATTATTAAAGAATCCTGTCTCTTGGCATTTTGTTCTGTAACTTAAAATACATCTGACATCCCTGTTGAAAGACAAACCAAATGACAAAATCCTCCTATAGGTATTAAGAGTTTATACATCCAGTTAGAGATGCTTACAGAGGCACATTTTCCATCTTAACCAGCTAAAGAACACACTCAGAAACACAGCAGGTAAAACATTTCTGCATCACGAAAGAATAGGAGCTTTTTTGCAATAAGTAAGGTCACTGTGAATATGATGCATTTCATTGTGTTTGCCTGTCTAGTATGATCTGATTCTTAACACAATGTCTTTGTGTCCTTTCAGGTTTCACAATTGTCATCACATCACTGTGGCCCTATTTGCAAAGGGTATGTATGGCTTCTTGACTGTTAAACAGGTAGTGAAAGAATATTCAAAGGATATTATGGGGACTTAATTTTTGGATTTAGCAGTCAAACTGAGTACAAAAGTCATTCTAAATAAATACTGTTGTACATTCTGGTTGTGTGCATGCTTCAACAATGGGACACTTAAAACTATATTTGCATTTTAGCAATGTCATCATAATGTCATAAGTTAACTGCAGGATCTTCCATAGAACATGCATATGCCTTTACATATTGTTTTTGTTGGTATTGTTTCTTGTAGATTGATGATGGCGCCGATGCCACCTTCCTGGGATGGGTGGTGGCAGCCTACAGTCTCGGTCAAATGGTGGCATCACCCATTTTTGGCCTTTGGTCCAACTACCGGCCACGCAGGGAGCCACTCGTGTGCTCTATCTTCATAAACCTGTTAGCCAATATCTACTACGCCTACGCATACCTGCCCAGAACCAATAACAGGTTCCACCTGCTCATGTCCAGAGCCTTTGTGGGCTTTGGAGCAGGTGATTTTTAAAAAAAGATTTGTTTTTGAAATTCCCACAAAACTTCTCATTTAATACCATTCCATATACTCATAAACTACATAAAGCTGTGCTCAACTGTGTATTCATGGGATCCATGTCACGCAATTCCTAACATTAGATTTGGTCTTTTTGATCGTAGGCAACGTTGCGGTGGTGAGGTCATATGTTGCTGGAGCTACATCACTGAAGGAGAGGACCAGTGCCATGGCGAACATGAGTGCCTGCCAGGCCCTGGGTTTCATCCTGGGACCAGGTAAAAATGTAAATCAGCCCCGTTTAGAGAGCAAT